TTAAATTTATGTATATATTATACTGCTAGTAACTAGGCATGTATGGCAAGATCTAAAAATAATCGATAGCTAACCCTAATACAAGATAAATAACTGAACTGAATACACTATTCACACTTGCACCTCTAGGGTAATCTCCGTTTGTTACCTTTGGAAATAATGGTCATGTCCCTCGAAAGTAGGGATACTTTAGCAAACGACCCTCGAATAAAGATCATAGTCCATCGATGACCATTTGATGTTGCCTATGAAAAATGATCCAGTCTCTCTAATAAACTGTTAAAGTATCTCTGTATGTTGCCTTGGATGACGATTCAATGATCCTACACATGTCCCTTCATATCCAATGGATAGGGCTACCTACCAACTAATGGTATGGATAACACTATCTCTAAAGGAGAAGAAAACTAACAAGAAAGACCTTGAGTGGGTAAGAACTGTTAATCGCTTGCTCACAATCTTTCTAAAAAACATTTTTTACACATCACACTTTCAAAATATTTTCAAACACTTTATACGCGTTCTTGAGGACTGATACAAGAACCATTACAAATTTGGTCGTACTTTAGGCTTTTCAAAATATTTTCAAATGTCATCCACACATAAAAAAAATTCAAAATGAGCTAGCGATTAAGAGCCTGTAGATAATTACGAATGAAAAGGGTGCTAACACCTTCCCTTTTCATAACTTACCCCCCCCCCCCCCCGATCTCAAAAACTATCAAGATCTTTCCTGTTCTTTTTACCCTTTTCTTATTGGATAAAAGAAAAGTCGGTGGTGACTCTAGTGTTTTAAAAAGAGATTTTAATTAGTTGTTTTTATGATTTACTAAAAATATGTTAAATATTTTTATAAAAAATAAATATTACGAATATTTACTAATTATGCAAAAATAGTTTAATACAAAATATGATATGTATAATAAAAATAGAAAATGGGAAATAAGTAAATTAAAAGAAATTAAATGAATTATAAAAAGATTAATTAATTTAAGCCATGGGGGTGTAAAACTTAAGTTTGGGGGTGTACTAGAAATATATTCAGGCCCAAAAGAAATTCTACGCCCAAATAGCAGGGGGTGCGAAGTGGTATGAATAGTAAAACCAGGGGGTGTGAATAGCAGGGCCTTAAATCCAGATATTAGATTTAGGCCCAAACACAATGGAGGTGTGAATATGAACATACTAGCAAAACTGGGGGTGCAGAACCTAAGGGCCCAAGTCCAGATGTTAGACTTGGCTCACTAACGCAGAGGAGGTGTCTTTTTTAGCATAGTAGCAGAATAAAAAAACAGGGAGGTGTTATTAAGAATGGGCTTGGCCCAAAGTTGAATCAGATAGAGGCCCGTTTGGATCGTGTATGGCTAGCGCATAGGATTACGGTGAGGTCGCAATTTTAGATCGTCTGATTAAGATTAGAAGGGTGTGATTGAGGTTGCACGGTAAGTGAAGCACACGAGATCATGACGGAGTATAACTTTCTGCTTTCTTCATTTTCTCCTCATTTCTTCATTCTCTCTTCCTCTCCATTTTTTCGTTTCTCTCTTCTCTCTCTAACAACAAACCCTACCCCACCAACAACGGCGATGAACCCCCCCCCCCCCCCCCCCCTCAACCCCAAATCAAACCCCAACCACCCTCAAATAGACATAGCAAACATCAATTGTGAAGAAAATCAAAAACACAAAAGCTGAGTTCCTCGGATGTTACCTTTACGCGTTTATTCTTTGAGCTTCCGTCTAGCCTATGCGTCTAACTCTCTCTGATCTCCTTCCCCTTACAGGTACAGTCGAAGGTGATGGTGGAAGCGGTTGAGATGGTAGATCTAGCAGTAACGTTTTGAAGGAAGATCTTAGGGTTTCTGTTCAAAAACCTTAGATCTACGCAAAGGGGAAACTCCGAGGGGATCGCTTCTTTGTGTCCTCTTCTTCTTCTGTTTCTGTTTACGATTTCTTCTTTTCCCTCCTCGTCTTATGATTTTTATGGTTACTTATAGGTTAGGAATTAGATTATATTAGGAAAATTTGTTGGTAGTCGTTACACTTTAGATGATTTTGTTAGAAATTAGGAATTAGAGTAGATTGAAGATTTGATTGATGAATTAGGGATTGAGCGATTGTAATTGATTCTGTATTTATGATTTCTGAGATTTGATGTGTTGTAATTTAGGATTTTATTGTATTTCGGACGATTTAATTTGTTTTGATTGAGATTCAATACAATTTTGTTTGATCAGCACAATACTTGTTTTTTCTGGGTTACTTAGCTTGCTTACAACGCCGTTTGTGTTTGGGTTGAAAACCTTAACTCGAGTTTGGTCAACAGGTCTTCAAAGAAATCAATTATATTTTTAGTAAAAATATTTAACTAATAATAACAAATATTATTAATGTCATCATAATTATTATAAAAATAACGATAATTACAGTAAGATAAGAAATAGAAACAAATTGCATGAGCAAAAGACTTAACACGATGGACCTGTTGAATTTCCTTAAATGGGCTGTAGAAAAAACGTACCATGGATTTTGTAACATCGCCCCCTCTAATTCTTAATTAGGCCTCTAATAATGGGCCATCCTTCTTCTAAGTGTACCTCCTTACTGTAATATAAAAAGGATAATAACCTTAATGAGCCATCAGACTTTGATGGTCCTCCTGAAACATGCATCCCTTTTTATATAACAAGGCCCTTCCATTCTTACATTATTTGAACCGGGCCTAAACGTAATGGGTCGTTCTACAACAGGAAAAAAGAATCTTTATGATAAAATTACATCCCCTTTATGAATTTGTAAAAACATTATTGGGCCATCAATTTGAATGAAGAAAATACACCCCTTTTATAAACGGGACAAAAGCCTAATGAGAGCCATTCGATTTTGATGATCCATTTTGAAACAATACAACCCTCTTATAAATTCAAACCTCCTTTAAAATATAGTCCAAAATAAGTAAATTGAAACAATAGAATTTAAAATTTAAAATGTAGCAATAATATAATTCCTAATTTTAATGAGACAAATTTGAGATACGATACCGTGAGGTCTATACTTTTGGTTAGGGCATTTGTTTAAATCTCAAGTTGAAACATCTTTTAAAATGCAAAATTGTAATAACATATGGAAAGATATGACAAAGACAACACTGCACTCGCAGGGAAAATTATAGAAGAAGAAGAAAAGACAGAGTTCGACAACATATGGAAAGAAAACAAAATTGCAGGCAGAAATTCTGGGAATGGAACCAATTGAGTTCGAAGGAAGTGGAGGAAACTCAGAGGAAGATGTGGATACATCGACTGAAGGTGCAATTGATGGCACAGTGGAAAAGGAAATTGTAGATTTCATGAAAGCTAATGAGGAGTGCACAAATGGTATCAACAAAGGTAAAACCCTAACCTCTCCTATTCTGAAAATGATGACACAAAACTTGAGTGGAAAATTTAAGGAAGTAGATAACAAGATGCCCCAAAGTCAGGAACAAAGAGTGAAAATTGATCTAGAAGATATAGAAGATGAGATTGAATATTGGAAGTCATCAACTATGTGCTATGTTCTTGATTGTAGGGCAAGTTGGAAAACCTTTGATGACGAATAAGGCAACCAAGCTTAGAGAGAAAGTAAATTTCCCGAGAGTGCTGGTTGAAGTATCCATTGAAAAAGAGTTCCCAGACAAGATACAATTTGAAGATGAAAGAAACAGGATTATTGAAGTCATGATAGGCTATGAATGGAAGCCGGAGAAATGCAACCATTGTCAAGGGGTATGGCATAAAACAAAAGAATGCTGCAAAAATAATCCTACTAGAAAGCAATGGATTATCAAAAAATGAGGTGCTAAGCAGAACATCCAGGTTGAGGGAGATGATGGCTTCCATTGGTGAATAAAGGGGTTAAGGCCAAAGATAGATTCAAGGAAAAGTTGCAGGGGGTAATTAGTACTAATCCATTCCAAGCCCTGAGTGGCAATGAAGAAGGGGAAAGTTCAAAAACTCAAGAGGAAAACGCAAAGAGAGGAGGGGAGGGAGAACCCCCTCTTACTAATGTATAAAATAGCTTCTTGGAATATCAGGGGGGTCAATAATCATACTAAACAAAGGGAGATCAAGAGATTGATCTTTAGCAACATGATAGGTGTGGTTGGCCTCCTTGAAACCAATATGAAGGTTAAGAACCTTGGCAATCTGTATCTGAATATGTTTGTCGGATGGTGCTTTACCTCCAATATCACTTGGCATAGGGAGAATAGTCCTAGGGTGGAATCCTAACTCTTTCGATGTGGATATTATCGAGTGCACTAGTTAGCTAATTCACCTGAAAGTTAGAAGCATCTAGCTGAGAGAAGATTTTCTTGTCACTTTTGTTTATGGGTTCAATACGGAAGCTGGCAGAAAAGACCTCTAGAAAGATCTGATTGGTACAGCTAAGAGTTATCCCTGGATAGTTTTAGGTGATTTTAACGACATTTTAGCCAAAGATGACATAATTGGAAAAAGGTTTGTTATGCTAACAACTCAGATTTTTTGACTTGTGTGAATAATTGCCATCTAGAAGATGTCAAATTCACAAGAAATTACTACACATGAAGTAATAAACAGCAGGGTGATGACATTATCTGTTCTAAGATTGATCGGGTTTTGGCAAATCAGGTTTGGCTTAACAAATACATTAAGGTTGAAGTTTATTTCCCTATGGAAGGTAACTATGACCATTTTCCAACTATTCTCACCATCTATCCTAAGTTAATTGGAGGGAAGAAACCTTTTAGATATTTTAGAATGTGGCAACAATATCCCCATTTTAAAGATATCATAAAGGCTGTGTGGAATATCCCCATTCATGGTACTCCTATGTACATAGTTACTCAGAAGTTGAAAAATCTTAAGGGCCCATTGAAAGAGATAAATAGAACTGGATTCAACAATTTGCAGTCTGCTAAAGTTGAAACCAAGAACAAGCTGGATGTCTGACTGTAGAATTTGAAGAAAGATTCTTTCAATGCGGATCTTATGGAGAAAGAAAAGGTTGCAAGGACTAATGTTGTGCTGGCCCAGGAAGCTACTCTTCTTTCTTGGCTCAAAAAGCCAAGCTTCTTGGATTAAATTTGGTGATAGTAACTCTGCCTTGTTCCATGCTAGTATCAGGCAACAGATTAACTCCAACATAATTTACTTCATCACCTCCACTATAGGTGACTGGCTCAGTAATCCTCAAGATGTGATTAAGGAATTCATCACCTATTACAAAGATCTTCTTGGGACTGTCGTATAGGATAGGATGCATGTTATGAAAAGAGTTCTCGAGCAAGGGAATGTAGTGTACCAACAACAACAAGATTACCTGATAAGACTCTACATAGAGAGCGAAGTTAAAGATGTAGTTTTTAGTATTCCAGGGGAAAAAGCGCTCGGACCAGATGGCTACAGTAGCTTCTTCTTTCAGGATAACTGGGACCTTGTGGGACTTGAGGTATGTTAAGTTGTTGTTTCCTTTCTTAATACCGGGACCCTCTTGAAGGAAATAAATACTACTACCCTTACCCTTGTTCCTAAAGTGAAATGTCTTGCCACTGTCAATGACTATATGCCCACAGCCTGTTGCAATATCCTTTACAAGATTGCCACTGAGCTTATTTGTAATAGGTTAAGGAACATTTTACCTGAGATCATATCTTCTAACCAGGGAGGATTTATGAAAGGTAGATACATAGCCCACAGCATTATGATCTGTCAAGATCTAGTGAAACACTATGGGAGGAAAAATTGTAAAAATAATTGTATGATCAAATTGGATCTTAGGAAAGCTTTTGACACGATAGAGTGGGATTTTATTGAAGAGATGCTTGTTGGTCTTAATTTCTCTAGGAGCTTTATAAATCTCATTATGAAATGCATCAGGACTCCAAAGTTCTCTCTCGTGTTGAATGGTTTCATCTATGGTTTTTTTGAAGCCAAATGTGGTTTGAGGCAAGGGGACCCAATGCCCCCTTTACTCTTTGTGATTGTCATGGAATATATATCCATAAAGATTGGACCCCTTGGTACCTTCAAATTCCATAAGAAGTGTGGAATCTTACAGCTGAACCATCTAAGCTTCACGGATGACATTTTACTTTTCTGTCATGGTGATTATATGTCCAGCCACATCATGCTTCAAGGGTTACAACTCTTCTCCAGAACGTCTGGCCTGTATCCTAATAAAAATAAATCTGAAATATACTGCAGTGGCATGAAGGACACTGATAAGCAGGGACTCTTTGAGGCTTCTGGTTTTAGCAGTAGTAGTTTCCCCTTCAAATACTTAGGGATGCCCATCAACTCTAAAAGGATAACTGCCAAAGAGTGTCAAATTCTGGTGGAAAAAATGACAACAGGATCACAATTTGGAGTTCTAGATATTTGTCGTTTGCAAGAAGAGCCATTCTGATTAATTCTGACCTTTTGACTATTCACTCCTACTAGGCCAAATAATCAGTCCCAAAAAATGACTATTCACTCCTACTAGAGCCAAATAATCATTGTCCCAAAAAATGACTATTCACTCCTACTAGAGCCAAATAATCATTGTCCCAAAAAATGACTATTCACTCCTACTAGAGCCAAATAATCATTGTCCCAAAAAATGCGATCCATGATATTAATAATATCTGCAGGGATTTCTTGTGGACAGGTAAAGCTAGTACTTGCAGCCCTGGAAACATTGCTTGGGAGAACTTGTGTAAGCCAAAGAACTGGGGAGGCCTCAGGTTAAAAAAAGCATTAATTGGAATTTGGCTGCTATTGGCAAACATGTTTGGAACATTGCCACCAATAAGAAGAATCTTTGGGTAAAATGGATCCACCATATCTACCTCCAAGACAAGGATTGGTGGGACTATCAAATTCCATAAAATGCTAGCTGGTATTGGAAAAAAGTTGTTGACGTTAAGGAGCAAATAAAAACCAAAGTGGTAAAACATGAATTTCTTAATGCTGAGTACAAAATTAAGAAAATTGTTAATCTGTTCGAAGTTGGAAGTGAAAAGAAGTACTGGAGCAAGATCATTTGAACCCCTATGAATATGCCAAAGCACAGATTTATCACTTGGCTAGCCATCCAAGATAGATTAAAAACCAGGCAGAGGCTTAAGAAGATGGGCATTGTTTATAATAGTTGTTGTCTCATCTGTGGTGTACAGGATGAAACTAATCTCCATCTACTTTTTGATTATCACTACATCAGGTACTGCTGGAATCAGATTAAAGATTGGCTTAACTGGAATATTTCGGCAACGAATTTGCAGGACATTATAAGAGGCAAAGCTAGTAAGTTCAAGAACCAAGTCCTCTCGACTGCTGGAAAATCAGGAATGTTGTTTTATGGAGTAGCAAGCTGCTGAAACCTAACAGTCGTATAAAAAAAAGTGAAGATTGATGTGAATAATAGAATTGGTTGTATTGGTTCTACTAGGATTAGTCTAATAGATAAAATCTAGAGGAATACTTTATAGTTTATTTGGCCTGCTATGGCCCTCCTAGACATTGTTTGGTTTAATGATTGCTTCTGATTTATTAAAAAAAAAAAGGTATTATTATTAATTAATTTTTTATAATTAAATAAATAATAAATTAAATTAATAAATTTAAAATTATTGAACAATTTGACTTGGGTTAATTAAAACACTTGCTATTAACATTGGAGAGAATGTTCAAAAAACTAATTTCTACAAAACAATGCGAATTTATTTAGGTAAGGAGGACGACATTGAAATATTTATTAATTTTCTTTTTAGATTTTAATGTTCTTTAAAAATTAAATACAAAATTATTCTTTTTTATATTTGTGTGTATTTCTTTTTATTAAAAGTTAATTTTTAAAATTAAAACATGATCTCTAATTTAATTGAGACGATCCTCTTAATATGAAACTAAAAAAAAAAAAAATTTATGTCAATAAATTTGTCTTTTTTTATTTGGAAAAATAACTAGTCATTTCGATCAAAAATATATATTTTATTTTTAAGTTTAATTTAATTAGCACCATTATAAATAATAATAATAATAATAATAATAATAATAATAATAATAATAATAATAATAATATTATTACTAATACAAATATTTTTTTTCTTTTTCAAGTTTTGCAAAAAAATAATAATTAAAAAAGTCACTTTTATTTAATATTTTAGGATTGTATTATATATACTCATTATTAATTTTTTTAATTTTTTTTATAAATGAATAAAATATAACAGGATAGAAAGAATATATTTAAACTAGTTTTTTTTATTTAATAGTCTAGTAGTAAAAATTTCATAATAAGTAAAAGTTTTTGAACAAAGTATAATGATAACATCTTACCTACCTCTTACTTTAAAAATAATAATAACAAAAGTAAAATAAAAACGTGTCATTTTTACTTTTTATACAAAGTATGATTCTGCAATAAATGTTATTAATTGAACAATAAATATTATTGTTAATGATCAAATTTTAAATCAACAATTTATTAATTAAACTACCGTATCCACCTTAATATAAAAGTTAAATAATTCCAGTGTATTCTCCCTAAACATTAATCTTTTAAAAAATTAACACATCATTTACAGTATTATCAAATTTTAAGATAATTGTAACATAATTTTTATTTATATGTTATTGTTTATAATAGGTTGTTTTAAGATTAATAAATAATAAGTACAAAATGTTAAAATGTTAAAATTAAGTTAATTCATTAACAATATTAAATATTTTAACGTTTTAAAATTTTAATTAATATTTATATATTTTAAAATATTATAATTTTGGTAAAATATTTATTAATTTTTATATATTTTAATTTAATATCATATTATAATATTTATTGATATTTTTTTAATTAAATTTTATATTTTAAAATATATTTATAAAGATAAATATTTAATTCTTATTTTTATTTTTATTTTTCTATCTTATTAGTTTCTAACTTAACTTATATAAGAATTTCAATTAAAGACATAAAATAGATTAATGGTCAAATATATTCTTCCGTCCTTTGTGTTTTGCCTTAATAATATTTTGGTCTTTTTATTTTTTGAATTTCAATTCGATCCTTTACCACCTTAAACTGATCTTTTATATTTTAACTGCATGTGTTTTTTTTTTACAAATATTTCATGACTTTTAAAACTTATTTAAAATTAAAAACGTAAAAAAAAAAACATTATTAATGTAAAATATAAATAAATATAAAATATGTTTCACCAATTTATATATATATATATATATATATATATATATATATATATATATATATATATATATATATATATATATATATATATATATATATATATATTGATCTTGTCGGTTGATCAGAACCTGATGAGTGGCTGGAGGATGATCTGCAGTCGAGCTGTAATCTGAAGAGAAAAGGGGATCGTACCTGCAAGACACTCCAATGATCAAGTAAAAGCGGGAACTGAGAGGTGCAAGCAGAAATATCAGGTAGTGAGTAGTGAATATATGATATTTGGCCCTCACAGGTGTGAGGGTTTATATAATATCTCTGGCGCGTGGCCATTGATTCTTGATTTTTCGTCTAGATATGTGGCTCTGGAAAATCAGGTAACAGCCAGGACTTGGTCAAACCGGATGGATGTGCCCGTAACTAACAGTTGGTTCCGAGGAAGAGACTAATTACGAACATCTCTCTGATCGGTTTCTAGTGGTCTGCACGATATTGGAGTCGGACAGACAGAAGGATGCTCGTCGATTATCCTGAGCCAGTGGCGAAGCTGAAGGGCAACGACCGTCGTTGTACGACATCTTACGCGCGATCCGGGTCGTGATATATTAGGCCTTAACATATATTGGACAAGACTTAATTGTATAATATATTAAAAAATTGTGTCGATTTGATTGTTTTATATTTTTAAATATTTATAGAATATTTGATTTTAGTTCTTATATATTAATTAATATTGGAGGGATTAAAATCAAATATTTTATATATTACATGGATCAATTTCAACATTAATTGGGAAGGGCAAAAACAAAATTACAAAAACCAAAACTAATTAACAAGTATTAAAACCAAACTAAATAAGTAATAGGGATTAAAATTAAAAATGTTTAATTATAGTTTTGGTCCTCCTATTTTACTCGATTCATGAAATTGAACTTCTATTTTAAATTCAAATAGTCTTAGTCTTCTCTCATACTTTTACATTTAAAATTAGCGATTTTTTTTAATTTTTTAAATGCCAAGTTTCTTGTGAAACATGAGAAATCGTCATATATAAACATATTGTGAAACTTTATAAATAAAAATATAAGTTAAAAACAAACATTTCGTCGATTTTCTATGAAAAATGTGAGAGGGAGATAAAACAGTTTGAATTTAAAATAGGGGGGTCAATTTTATGAATCAGGTAAAATAGAGGAACAAAAACTGTAATATAATCAACTGAAAAATTGTATATTTGCAAGAATTAATTACATATTTAAAACATGATATATTTATATATTGAAATACTAGTAGACAACCTTCCTCACATAAGTATTTCCCTGAGAGTGATATCTCTTGAGAAATTTGATTCCTAAAATAATGATGAGACCAATCACAAGGAAGAAGGTGCGTGCGAATGAAAGAGTAAACAGAAATCAAGGAAAACCAGATCTCATAAGTACACTACCAGATGGCGTTTTATCTTCCATCCTCTCTTCTCTTTCCATCGATGAAGCTGTGAGAAGCAGCATCCTTTCAAAGAGATGGATACCTTTATGGAAGTATGCTCCACACCTTGACTTTGATGGCACTCGCATGATGAAATCATTTGTTAATGCAACGGGTAAAGATGCTCGAGAATATGGTAAGCTTGTTAATTCCGTATTACATCATCATCTTGGTGATTTGATTAGTTGTCGATTTATACATTTGCCTAAAAATCTTATTGTTGGGGATGTGAAAGGATGGATTGAGTATGTGATGGAGAAAAACAAAAGGATGACTCATTTGAGTCTAGAATGCTGGAGTTCAATTTGTTGCTATGATATAAAAGATATGAAACCTAATTTTCGATCTAAGATATTTTCGGTCTTGTGTTCATTGGAATTAACAAACTATGTTCTAGCGAGATCAGTTTTATCTGCGTTTGAAAGTTGTGAAAATTTGAAGATCTTGAAATTGAAGAAGATGAAAATGAAGAATGAAACCATCAATGGAATTTTGAAAAAATGTTTGGGTTTAGAAAAGTTTAGTCTTATTGGTTCAATCGGATTCGATATACTCAAAATTAAAAGCCCTGGTCTTAAGTTTTTGGAGCTTAAGAAGTTAAGGGTCAAAGAGATAGAAGTTTATGCCGAGGACCTTCAAGTTGTTGTGATTGATTCTCTAGTTTGCCCAGGAAAATGTCTTAAAATTTATTCTCAAAATCTTAGGACATTTTCATCTTCATATGATCAAACCACACAAATGAGTCTGAAAACTCATGAAATTCTTGAAAATTGCAGTGATCTTTTTGTAAGTGCTCTCTCTTCTTATTTTTTTATATTGGTTATAAATTATGGTTGATTAATTTTGAGATTTATATTTTATTTTTGATATACCATTAATTTTAAAAACAAATCTAATTGAAGCAACCACAATTATAGTTGTGATTATGATATTAATAACGTGTATTCTAAAACCTTGATTGCAATCATAATCATGATTTTAAAAAGGTTTGTCATTGCATTCTAGATTTTGAAATCAAATTATTTGATATCTATGTGATTGCAATTGAAGGTGCATTTGAGTGCGATTATCCATAATATCAAAGATTGCGACTTGAGTGCAACCATTATTGTGTCTGGAGTTTATATTCTTTAAGTTGATAGTTTCAAACCACATATTTAATCTTTATTATTTATTTTTGGATGGATATTGCATAAAATGATGAATAGTTGGTTTGGGATAACATGAATATGCCTAGTTGTACGAATCCATATTTATTTTTGTTTTGGTATAGCATATAATTGTATTTGCTATGTATCACTATGATGCAGGAATCTCAAATGACCAACATTTTTCTATTTCTATTGACTTTGTCAATTGAATTGAATTTGAATAATCTTAGAGAAGTTTTGCCCCTTTCATACATACTAAGGTCATGTATCCATCTCAAAACTCTTGAAATTACTATACCGGTATGTTATTATTAATCTTATTATACTTTAATCTTCTTTATGTTATTGGCTTATTAATATGTATATATTGAATAATGAGTCTATTTTATATAATTTGTAATGTTTGAAATTAAGTTATGTTTTTCTAGATAGTTGAAGCTTTTGAAGATTGTGAACTACCGTATCCTAAGTCAATTTTTTGGGAAAGACAACAAATGTATAACTGTATCAATCACAAGATAAAATTTGTAAC